AATTAATATATAATATATATAATATAATAGTTTATATATATATTATATTATTTATTTATATATATATATAACGAATTGTATTGTTTATATTATTTAGACGATATAAAACACATGGATAGATTTAGATTTGGTAAGCAACAACATGTTGTTTATGGTGAACCAATGCCTCAAAATATCGACTTGGAAGAATTATGTCCACATCAAGAAACATGTCCTACATGTCATCCCATGAAATGTCTATACACCGATATCGATGGGTACGTAAATGTTCAACCATTACGTAACGTCAATTTCACAGGATTGCCGTCAAGATTAGTAGGTAAGTAGTTTTTCATCGTCATATTTATCTGATCCAATAAATTACTCTCTCCCTTATATACATGTAAATAATATCCGTATACGTATATAGATGGTGTAATAGAAGCAGTAGGTAAACCAGTATTAAAGGGAACCATGGATGATCATTATGGTAGTTGGATGCACGATCCATCCCCAAGATCCGATGGTATTTCGGATAAATATTGGGTGACCAGAAAAAATGAAACCTCTTATATATTGGAATATAAATCTAAAGAACATTTTAAATCAAAGACACCACAAAAAATCGAATTACCATATCCATTTCAGGTTTGTATATCGATAATAATAAATATCTCATTTCTATATTTATATATAATTATTAATTAACCATAAATATTATTATATTATAGGGAAACGGACATATAGTATACAATGGATCATTTTTTTATAATCCTAAAAATCGATCATCAATCTTTCGATTCGATCTTTACCATGGTCAAGGATGCGATATATTTTTCTCCAAATGCGAATTACAATTACCCGGTTTATACGTTAACACTAATAATTATCTTTACACGCCTAATCATAATTTTAATTACGTGGACTTCAACGTTGACGAAAATGGTATGCTGATTTAAAATAGTCTGTAACAATTTATTCTTTAACACTAGATTTATGGAAAGATGTTCACTATTCTTTTTATTTAAAAACTTACAAACATTATTTGAATGAAAAAAATGAATTTAATATTTACGTATATTTCATTAAAGGCATTATAAAAATCAATATATATATATATATTTTTTTTAAATAAATATTTAAATTTTATATATAAATGAATCAAAAATTGGATCTCAATTCATAAATCTAATGTTTATAGATTTTCTTAAGGATTCTTATGGGTTTTCAAATATCTACATGTGTGTACTTGATAAAAGCCGTATGTCTGTCTCTGTTTGTATGTATGTCTATCTGTCTGTCTGTCTGCTGTATGTCTGACTGGTAGCCCACGATTTGCTATGCCTCGAAGGTGGTATGCATTGCATGCACTTGTGGTCTATGCGTACATAAAGGACGGGATTGTGTGGTCAGACGGCACATATTCTAAAGCCGATAGAGATCAGCTAATAACGCGTTATGAAACACACGACGTGTATGAAAGCAAGTAGTAATATGCGTACACCATAAATATCAACGAGTTTTCTATTATACATATACGTTATACTTTCATCCTTTGATCTCTATTGGCATTTAATACTGTACCACTATCGGACATTTTTAAAAGAAATCTTTTTTTACTTTCATTTTTTATATATAATATATATATACGATTCATGTTTATAAATACGTTGATTTATTTTTATATTATATTTTTAATATATATTTCTTATTAAAAAAATATAATAGATGTTATATATATATATATATATTGAATGTGTGTTCTATATAAAAATTATATTTTTATATGTATAAGTATAATGTTAAAATTTATTATTATAAAATATATATTTTTTATTCTTTTATTATTACTATTGTTAAATTGTAAAATTTGTAAAATATGTAGTTTTGTATAATATTAATTAGTTATTATATTATAATATACGGTATTATGCTAGTAATTATAATATTCAATATATATTATAAAAATTATTCATATAAATTGTATTTTTTTTTTGTATAGGTTTATGGGTAATTTATGGATTACCATCAAATAATACGATCGTGATGAAAGTGGGGGCTACTGATCTCAGTCTTCAATACGCGTGGAACATCAGTATTGATCACCATAAATTTGGAGAGATGTTTATTGCTGGAGGAATTTTATATGCAGTTCATAGCGTAACCGATGAAACTATGAAAATTCGGTAAGCATTTCGAAATAAATACATATAGGTAGAATAAATAAACTTATTTACTTATTCACGCAGAAAAAAAAAAAAGAAACATAAACGAGATATTATTTTGTAACGCGGTCTACTGAAAAAATAATTATTTTTTAGATTAGCTTTAGATTTGTACAAAAATTCAACAGTGGATGTACATTTGTCATTCTCAAATCCATATCATAAAACTACAGCTGTCAGCTATAATCACAAAACGAAGGTTTGTAATATTTAAATAAATGAATATAAATGATATATTTCGATTTTATAATTGTTTGTTTAGATAAATAAGAAAATGATTTGCAGGAGCTGTATACATGGAATAAAGGAAATCTATTAGCTTATCCTGTAAAATATCAAGGTCTCATTAATGTTACATTAAGAGAGGAGCTCAAAGATACGGACAACGCCTAATAAATTGATTTAAAATAACATCTGTGATAGTTCACCTTCGATCGATATCACCATACTAATTTACCAATATCTATATAAACCGTATTTAATATTTTACCCTCTCTACCATGATCTCCAAGTGTAAAATAATCTCCTGTGGAAAACATAGAAACTAAAATGAGTAATTATACTCGAAACATTTTTTATATTATTTGTGTATTTACTTTTATCACGTATATTATATATGTAAACATCAAAAAAAAAAGAAAAAAAAAAAAAAACCAAAGAAGACAAAATAAATATGTCATTTTAAAGATTACAAATAGCCAGCAAAGCGTTTTCATTAATTATGTTTCGTTGTTTCCTTTTTTTTTTAGTAAAATATTTTTTCGATACATATTATTTAATACTAAAGTATCGAAAAAATGTATACTAACAATTAAATTAATTATATTATATCTCTCATTATAATTATTTCTAATAACAAATTAGTCGAATTACTTATAATATACAAGAATTATTTTGCTATATACGAAAATATAAATTTTGCAGCGCGTCAATCATTTATTATATTGAACAATTATTATTATTTTGATATAGGGTTATTACAAATCTGTATTGAAAATACATGACATAATCTAAACACGTTATACATTAGCAAGGCACCTATACTGTCCTGTTATTATTTCGATTAGAAAAATTGTTAATATAAACGTTCGTTTCGTAAAAAAATGGTCCCCGTTTGTTTACCCGTGATTTATATTTTTTTATATCACCACTATTTTCTCTTTACTAATAAAAAAATTGTCTGTCAGTCAAATTTAATAAAAGCAAATATTTTTTTGGTATAAAATGAATTACCTAAAACATTCATTGTACAAAATAAATTTTATGTATGTTCTTCATATACAACCAATTACTTTCTTTTGCCCAGTATCCTCTAGATCTGAAAATAATCAATGTTAGAAATGAAGAAATGTTTTTAAATTAATGATAATAGATGATGAGATGAATTATATGCAGAAATTAATAAGCAAACCTAAAAGGGAAAATATAATAAATTAAAATACAAAAGCGAAATATATAAAATATTTAGTAAATAGTAAAGAAGAACAGAAAAGAATAGTAATAGATTACTTTGAAAGAAATAAGGCATTTGATAAAAACAACTATTCTAATAATCAATTATACAACTTGTTCGTTTCTATAAATAAAAAGAAAAAACATAATATATACCTGCACCTTTATAAATTTAATTATAACAAGCAATGCAAAATTGAAATATTAGTCGAGTTAGACTTACGAGTTAGTTAAGATGACTGCTTGAATGAATCTGTGAATATGGTTAGAGTGAGGGTGAGTTCAAATTAGGACTGCCAGGTGTTGACGAAGATGTTGATGGTGTACCTGGTGGTGATGCTTCCAAAGGACAAACCAGATTTCCATAATCCACTTCGTTTTTACTCTTTTTACGTTTCAACGTGAACTGAGACTTCTTTGGTGCCTGTAATACAAAAATAATAATATATTATTCCTATGTAATATATATAATTTGTTTTTTTAATACTATCACCGATATACCAACCTTCAATCTAGCCGTAAGAGTTAAAGGTACGAATCCAAGTGTACTTTCCATCTCTCTTTTATGCTGCACAACTTCTCTACCAAGAATTTGATTAAAGTGAGTTGTCAAATGCCTTCTTAATAGAGTTTTTGAAGGCGGAATGCTTAATATGGTTGCTAACAACTCTGACGTGAAACGACCTTCATGGATCATTAGTCCACCATGCACTCCTGAGCCTCTCATATTGGGTGCATATTCTGCAAGGTCAACCACTCTTAACCATTCCATCACTCTGTGATTAGTCCATAGCGTAACGTTACTTCCATCTGCACCGTTCCCACTTACTGATCTTCTCTCCAAATTGTCAAATTCAAAATTCAGTTCCCTCAAAATCTATAAATTAAGATTAATTATGTTAATTATATTTACACAATAATATTCCACAAAAAATACAATTTTAATTGATTTATTATCACTTTTCTTATATATATATAAACTTAATATTACCTGAATTCCTCGTCGTAAACTAGCTGCATGTAGCTGAGCTGTCACACCGAGATTCAATAAGTCTTCTGTTGTTAATCTATGTAATACTCTACCATCAACTTTGGCATTATGAAAAGCTTCTTTATGTTGGGGTAATCCAATATCATCTAACCATCGTAATACCGCAGCACTGTCCATCTACAATGAAAATCAAAAATGGTTATCAAAAAAATACATCAAGTAAATTGATGTATATTAATAAAAACATTATTTACACAACCTTCTCCGAACCAAGAAAACCCTCTGCATTAGATCTCTCAGATTCAATTGCATATAGTAATTTCTTTCTGTGTAATATATTTTTGATATCAAGTTCCTTTTCAATTTGATTTGGTGTTGCATCAACTAATTTTACACCGGTAGCTCCCCATCGTCTTAATTCTGCAGCATAACATTCCAGACCAATACGGGATAACCAATCACCAACTTCTTCTATAGACAATTCTGCAAGGGGCTTTGGTGGTGCTGATTCTGGTTGAAAACTTGACTCCCCAATTACTGTTTTTTCTTCTTCCGCTGAAGAAAAATAAAACAAAATAAAAGAAATATATTTATTTGTTTTTAATATTATATATTTTAAGGTACCATCCTGGTTATATATGGCATTATTATTTACATTTAAATATATTACTATGGACTTATATTTTTAAAATTGGCTTCTCCTTTGTCAACAAATGGTTATTAAACGAATTGTGTTATCAGAAACAAGCAAACATGACATAAGCATGCTTAAGTAAAGATTCATTTAAGAACCTAGAATAGGAGCTGATAGACATCTCGCAGAAATTCCTCTAACAGCCAATGGTACTGTTGTGTGCTCTCCGGAGATTAAATTGGAAACCTTACCAAACGCGACTCCTTTCTTCGAAGATGTTGGTGGCCTTGGAAGACTGCTATATTGACCGGCATGTCTACTGAATCTCTCCCCCTATAGAAATAGTAACTGTAGATTTATACTTAAGACAAATATATATGAATAATGTTTAATTATAATACTTACATTGGATAATGAACTTGTATTTCTTAATGCTAAATTTTCATGTTCTAAGCTAGCCTGCCTGAGTTTCAGTTCGGAAAGAGAACTAAGAAGCTCGAGTTTTTGTGTCTCTAATGCACTTCTTGATAACACTTCCTTTAAAATAATACAAAATTAAATTAAAATTAAAGTTGCATTACTAAAAAATCCACGTAAACTTAAAATTTAATAAGATATAATCATATGTAACCTTTTGTAAAGCTTCTTCCATTTGTCTGAGGGAATGCTTTTTTTCTTTAAGCATATTTTCTAATTCTTGAATTTTGCTAGATTGTGCATCGACTTGCTCGGATAGAACTGATACCTCCATGTGAAGTGCACCACGTTCGCTTTCTAATTTTTGAAGACGTTCCTATGAAAGAAAACAAACACTTTAGAGGCTTTAGAAATAATTTGATGATCTTCATTTTTTTTGAATAAAACAAATTTGCCATTAATTATTAATTTTTCTTGCACATTTAATATACCTCAGTTTTACTATAGTAGCTATACATGTGTGAGTTATTGCCACATTGAAATTGCTGTAAAGAACAGTAATGTGGTCTATCTTTAGGACAGCATATTAAATCACTATGCGATTTAGTCCTCTGATTATGATCAGTTTTACTTTTAAATCTTCTTCTTCTTCTATCCAACGAACCAGCACAACGACCTACTGAATTTCCAGAAAGAGAAGTAGTGCTATTTGTTTTGTCACTGGAATGTAAATGACATTCCTTCAAAGGCAATGAAATTTGTTGCATATGACAAGGATACATTGTGTGACAATTGCAACTTAAAGGAAGATGATCCTTGCTATAATGACGTGGCAGCTCGCTCTGGATACTAATTTACATAAATAGATCATTTTTTGAAATTAATTTTGCATGTCCTATTTTATATATGTCGAAAAAATTAACAAGCACATGAACCTTGAGCATGGTGTACTATACAAAGATGGAAGTGTTGATAAATGATTTGGATTAGTTTTAGTTATTGGTGTTCCACAAATATTGGACACACTGCCTTGAAGATTTATCATCCTATTGTATTCGAATAGACAACCCTGAAGTGTGATATTACAAGTACGCGTTAATTTGTGAAAATAAAATGTTTTTGATATCAGATACGAACAATGATTTCATAAAATATATTTTTCTAAATACCTGACAAAGACAAGTTTGAGACCTACAACCACTATGACAATCTTCAACAAATCTAGACGGATCAATTCCTATTCTGTGTTGGTAATCTTCAGCATATTCCTCACCACAGCCTGAATTAGACGTTTCAGAAGAATCATATCCTTCTGAAGGTGTCCATTGACTATCCCAGTGTTTTATAGTTGAAGCAGCTTCTGACGAATCCGACTGTGAATCTAAATTAAATTCGAAGGACTTTTTTTACTATTACTAAGATAAGACTGAATGGTTTTCTCTTCAAATTTCTCTTGTAAAATTAGTTAATCTATATTTAGCACCAAGTGTTTCTACTTAACTGATAAAGATTCTATTTTTATTTCATTCTAACAGAAAAAGGATGCTTCGAATAGTTTTGCTTATAAGAATTTATTTCTAAAGTGTTAATAATAATTAACATAAAGAAATTGATTTTTTAATGATACTACTCGTGTCATTATTTATAACCCAGTCATATAAAAAGAAATAATTATGAAAATATATTAATTAAAGACCTTTCCTATGTAGTTTATTATCTTCTTCCATGGTAGCAATTAAATTCTTGTATTCTTTAGAATAATAATTCCACGTATTATCCATTCTTTATAAAAAAAACATCTTCTTTTAAAATATCATTATTGCACCACATTATTGAAACATATAATCTAAACTCTTGAGTTGGATCATGCATAAATGTATGCCACATAAAACACGAGAAAATAATATTGGAAAAAAAAATCTCTTCAAGTATTTAGAAACTATTTAGTATGATAAAAAGAGAGAGAATAAAATAACGAATAATAGTAGTCTACAACTTTTACGAAAGTATTTTATATCGGTTTAAAATTTCAAAATTATTCAGCACGTTGAATATAGATGAAACACAGTCTCATATGCTAAGCTCAGCTTCGTCTCCATCGAAACTAAATTTAACATCACAAAATTCATCGTGGTGAGGAGGAAGAAGACGAAGAAGAAAAAGAAGAGACGTAGAAGAGAAAGAGAAAGAAAGAGAGATTGTAACTTATAAATAGAGCAAGTGTGTTCTCCCTCTTTATTAGTCGGGATCGCTGCCCCTTCTTCTCAATAATGATGAGAGATCAAGGATGAAGATACGTATATACATATATGTGGTGAACAACGTTGAGGGATAACACATGCACATTATCAATCAACGATATCTGTATGAAGATTCGATTAAGAGCTATACATTATGAAATAAACACCTTTGTGTTTTTTTGAATAGATTCACCTGAAAGATACATATTTCTCATGATATAAAATCAATCAATGAAAGGATGAACGGGAATGATAGCCTTTGATAAAAAATATATAAATTATAATTTAAAAAAATGTCTCTACGTGTCGTTCTTGTTTACGAAATAAACAAAACACGTATCATCATAGAGATCGTTAGTAGCATGTCTCCTCTACTAAGAACGTCCGGATGTAGACTAACATACGTGAGAAGCATTTGACTGGGATAAACACAGCACATGTAACACGTGCATAGAAAGACGTGCGCGTGCCGGAAATCAGTCCGGATATGCGCACCACGTGTTTCATTGACATCTGCGCTGATTGCGAAAGATAAGTATATCCGGAAATGGGCCATTAATAATAACAACCATAACGTAAAAAAGGAACAAGAAAAAAAAAAAAGATATATAAGAAGAAGAGACATGTATCATTTTCTCTTCTATTGTTTAAGTTACTGAACTTTTCTCCCTTTTGAATTTGCAATCACGTAAGCACGTGTCAGCTACTACTAATGTTATTATTGCTGTTACTACTACTGCTGCTGCTGTTGCTGCTGAAAGTAACATAGAGATGATAACGATGACTTCTTACCGGTTGCATCCACTGCATAAAAATTTCAATGGTGCTTGCATCCGGCGGGGGAGGTGGAGTAGGTGCACTTTTTATTGCTGCTACGAGATTTCTTGTTGCTTCTTTCACGGAATCCTTCCATTCTGTGTTCCCTTCAACGACGCCTTCTGCACACGCTCCTACAATCCAACAAATAGAATATAAAATAAATAAAATTAATATGACAAAATTAAAAATTCGTTAATCAACTCTATGTTATCTTGTTATTTTTGTGAAATTATTAAGAAAACAAATATATAATTATCTTATGTATAATTTTTGAAGATTATTACCAGATATTATTCCATCCATTTGTAATAATGCAGCCTCCAACATTTTACTTGCCTCACTCGAATTTTTTGATAAGAAATTCGACTCGTTCACCTGCACCGTAGTGTCGTTTCTCTCCTCACTTTTTCCCATTACTTATCACTGAAAGAAAAAATAATATTAATTTAAATGATAACATCTTAACAAACAAATGATAATTTTAACGTTTTGTTATTTATTTCTTTTTTAATAACACATTGTTGATCGGTTGTTAAATCAACAAAAAAATAATATTATATATATTTCATATCTGATAATATATAATAATTAAAAAATATAAATCCCTTATTTGAAATATTTAAAGTGTGTCAATTAATATAAAAATAAATCAAATACTTAATTAAATGCAACAAACAATATTACAATAACGACTTAATAAAAGATTTGATTATTTCATAATGACATAATTTACTTGTATATGTATGCATTATGCAAACAAGAATAAACTCCTGACCGGTCAACAATGTGATAAGAACATTAAAAACAGATCGGTTTCTAATGACACATTGCACGCGACTCTCTGTCAAAGGAATGAGTCATAAGATTTTATTTCAATGATGCGGGTTCCTAATATTTACCGAGTAAAAAGAACCAAAGAAAAAGAACAAGATAAGAAAGAAAAACAAAGATAAAATTAATTTTCTTTATCCTCGAAAGTATCATCGGTTAACAAAGTGAAACTACTTTCACTTGTAATTTATCAACATTACCAACAATATCATCATTTCAATCTATCAAATTTCTATTATTTTATATCAAACAATAAAATGTAATTAAATCTGATACAGTTTATATTTAATCTAACATGCATATTACAAACATTAAATAAATCTAATCTAACAATAAATAAGATTTCTTGAAAAAAAAACAATAACAAATGATCATTATCAATCTTATCTGTAGAATCGAAGATGATAGATTAATCTTACCGTGTCGTTTCATGATTTTCATTTGGATCGATGATTAAACGTATATGTTACTGTTAGTTAATTAAATTTTACAAAATATATATAAACGTGAATAAGCGAATATTGTGCGAACGGTCAACAGGTACTAAAGAGCAACGCCCAATGGCTACGCCACCATAACGTATTCTGCGTTCACATTGTCTCTGTCTTTCTTTCTCTTCGTATCTTGTTCTATCTCTGTCCCTCTTCCACTTTATAACTAAACTTATTCTTCATTCTAACGTAAGATCATTCTAATAAACTCGGTTATGTATATAATATATATATATATATGTATATATATCTCACCCGAAAGCATATCTTATTTTTTTATAACCTTTGATCGTATTATCATTACGTAAAAGTAAATAATCCAGTTATAATTAGAAATAATATTCGATGAAGATCATCTCAAAACTAAAAGAAGAACGTTATATTTTCGCGAGATCGTATGTGTAAAAAAAGAAAATAAAAAAGAGAAAAAAAAAATGAATAATAGTATATTGAAATACAAGCGTGAATTTTATCTTTATTTATTCAGTTGATTTGTTGATTTTATTTGCAAAAATGTCTGGCGAATTATGTTAAGTAAATTTATTATTCGAATTGTGTGACGATTAAACGCATATGGGAGAAATGTGTTTTCTCATATTGACGCTAGGCGTCGCGCTAAAATAAATGATACATATTGTTTTTATTCTCGATTATACGATAATCGATTACTTATCTCGATCTTTGAATCTCGATTAAGTGAAGTTACCTTTTCATGAAAATTCGATGTCCTTAATGATGAATGGAACCTTATGATCCTTTTTAATGTATGCTTCTCGAACGAAACATTTATATATCCGATTATAAAGAAACAAATGTATTTCTTATCTTTTCTATCATCGATCGTAGGCTCATATAAAAAAGCGTTTTATCTTTATTAAGATGAACTGTCGTTGTTATCGCCTATGATTTTCCTGAAATAAAATTGAACATTGCAAGTTTAGAACTCGCGATAAATGTACTATATGTATTCGCACTATTAAACAAATCAAATTCAATAAAAAAAAAAAAACAAAGAATTAATGTTATATTTTCATACTTTTTATAATTCTGACGCATAATGAAATTATTGGAGAAAATATCTTTTTTTTTTCTTAAATAATAGAAAAAGCACGTACCGATTTGGGATCTTCGCCACTTTCTTTAACACGGTGGATCGATTTAGCGTCATTCGATTCGAATCTCATACTCTCGATCCGCTCGATTTCGATCATACCGCGAAATGTCACGCGCTTACTTGAAATTATCCTTTCTTCCTTCCTTCTTTCGTTATTATTAAATCCAAATAAAACTTATACAAATAATTAATCGAGTTAATAAACGAAAAAGCTGAGATTGCGCGTGACGTTAAACGACGCGACAGAACGACGACGACGACGACTACTTGAAGTCAAAATTGATTATAAGCGTTACCAACCTTTGATTGGTCGAGAAATAAAGAAACGAGAAGAACTAGGTTATGTTCGAGCCAATTGAACGAAAGATTGCGCGCGAAAATATACGAAAAAAGCCGAAGAACGAATAGCGGTATTTTTGAATGAATTCAATCATTGTTCTTATTGATTTTTTTATTAATTTTCCAACGATTCAAATCTATTTGATTTGATTTAACGAGCAGACAAATCAATAGAAGATAGAAAGAGAGAGAGAGAGAGAGAGAGAGAGAGAGAGAGAGATAGAAGATACCTGAATATGAAGTAGTTATCAGAAATGGATTGGTAGCAATGCTCACCGATATCGGTGAGCGAGGATATGGATACTTGGTATACTTCCGTTACGTTTCACTTGCCTGTCTGTCGTTGAAAGAAGGAGGAAAAAGAAAAAGAAAAGAAATAAACATTGTGGAAAATGCGCGTGGTGTCGTGAAATAGAAGAGAGAAATTCCGTGGGTTGAAACAGGCCTTGTCAACCTACTACTTTTGAGGAATGTGAGTAAGTAAATAAGACGCGTGTCCCGACCTCTTTTCTTTTCTCTCTCTCTCTCTGTTTCTCTTTTTATCTATCTGTCTATCTCTCTCTTACTTTTTTCTCCCACTCCTATCACTCTCTAGGTCTTTCGCACTCTCTCTCTTTCTCTTTTTCTCTCTCTCTTCGTCTCTATCTCTATCATTATCTCTCTCTCTCTCTCTCTCTCTGCTCTCTCTCTCTCTCTCTCTCTCTCTCTCGCTTTCGACGGCGCTGTCTTTCCGCGGAAAAGCCGCGAAAACTACGTCACGAGTGACGGATTCGGTCAAAACTGGGACAAAGTGCAGTGCACTCTGGCATTGCGCTTTACCCACCAGGTGTTTCTATGCCGTAATCTTCCCAGGATTGGGTAATACTCATACCGTTGCACCTTGCTCTCGAATACCTGCTCGATCTTCGATACGAGAGTCTTGACACACAACTAGGTACCAGGTTAAACTGACAGGTAAAGGTTTACATTCGTCATTGTCTCTTTTGGACGAGTTAATTGTATGCGTGAAATTCGACCTGTAATAATACGTGTACCGTCGTGTCTACTATATGATTCGGCAGAATTCTACGTTTTAAATACCTACGTGTATTTTACTCTCTCCATTGGGATATATTTTCTTATATCTTCGATCTGAATTCAAAAAGGATACGTGTCCTACTATACGAGTATACGTATGTATGTATATATGTATATATATATATATATATATATATATATATATATATGTAGATAGATGTATGTGAAATATATATATATATATATTTTTTTTTTTTTTAATACTGTAGTAAGACGAAATTCATGTTAGATCGAAACTTTGATAAATGATAAATGTCTTACGGGCGTTTCTCTTCAAGTTTGTTCTTTCTAAAATGTCGGAATTATATCATTAAATGATATATTTGTTGTCATTTTTATTTTAGTGACGTGTTGTCATATTTAATCGTAATATATGAGATGTCATATATTATATTGTAATCAAAATTCCAATGGTAATTGTTACAAAGACACTCTTAATGGTGCAGGTTAGATGAAGGATTCAAGATAGTTCCACCGTTTGGTATCATGTCAGATGGAGTCGATGGTGGCGGCGGGGAAAACGAGGTAGACTCTCATTCCTCTTCGCATGCAGAGGCTGGTGATTCTTCTAATCACAGAGAAGAAGAAACATTGGATGCAGACAACGAGGCAGCTCTTAATACTAATTATGATAGTAGTGATGGAGCAGTTCCAGCATTTAGGTTTGATTAATTTTCAGATCCTTTAGAAGCCAATTAAAAAAAGAATATATTAGCATGAAGCCGCAGTACATTGATCTATAATGTAATATGATTTTTTATATATTACTTTGACGCTTTCACAGATGTGATCGGTGTGACAATTATGAAACTATAAATAAGACCGCATTTTGTGCTCATCAAGATCAATGCATTGGAAACGGTGAACCAGGAGAAAGCACAGAGAGTATCGATGGACCTGAAAATGATGGAGATGGAGATGAGGGTCATTCAGGCTTGCGGGCCCACAGAAAAATATTTGAGTGCGATGTTTGCAACATGAAATTTTCTAATGGGGCTAATATGAGAAGACACAAGGTAAAATTATACATAATGGCTGTTGTACAAAAGATTAAAAAGTGATGATCTTACGTGTATGTATCATATTCATTTTTTGTTTGTTTTCTATATTATTTTACTTTCTAGATGAGGCATACGGGTGTAAAACCATATGAGTGTCGTGTATGTCAGAAAAGATTTTTTCGTAAAGATCATCTTGCAGAACATTTTACCACTCATTCTAAAACTTTACCATATCATTGTCCAATATGTAATAGAGGTTTCCAAAGACAAATTGCCATGAGGGCGCATTTCCAAAATGAACATGTAGGACAACAGGATATGGTCAAATCATGTCCATTATGTAGTTATCGAGCTACTACAATGAAATGTCTTAGGTTGCACTTTTTTAACAGGTATATTAGTTATCGTAAATAATACTTTTTTTAAAACTATATTTGCAAGTATAATTATAATCCGAAGAATACCTTCATTCAGATATATGTGTTTGTGTTTAGACATGGAATAGATTTAGATAATCCAGGACCAAACAGTTCAACTTCAATATTAAATAGTTGCACACCTGGGGAAGCCATGCCATCTGCTCCCCTATCCGACAGTGGTGACAGTACTGGCAATAGATCAGCGGACAATGCAACTCCTCCAATGCACTTTCTTACTCCTCACGTTGAAATATCCATTCCTTACCCAGAACAAACTACCAACCAACGAAATTCAAGTCCTGCTCCACTAAATGGTGATAGCCCAAATAGTCCACAAAGTGCAGATAGCAATAGTAATGCTCCAAGCAGTAGTCATCATCAATTATCCATTAATAGTAGTGGCATTCATAGGTAAGTATATTACTATTTAAAAATATTTCATGAAACACTTAACTTGATTGTTCATATTAGAGAGTATGAATAAATAATCTTATATTACAAGGAATGTGGGTGGTGGAGAAGAAGCTATCACACCTTCAATCTCTTTAATCCCTATCAAACAAGAGCCAAATAGCAATGGTATGGAAGATAGTGGAGCAACATCCAGTAATCTGTCATTGCCATCGTTAATCAAGGTTTCACCATTGAAGACACTATTGCGAGATGATCTATGTCGTAAACTTTCTACAAGTTGCAGTAATAATAATAACACTAATAACAATAATGGTTCAAATTCCAATTTACATTCGAGGGGTGAACCCCCGACATCGACGAGACCTGATCCACGAAGCAGCGGTTTACAGTGTACACACTGTAGAATTACTTTTCCAGATCAGACATTGTACTTTCTTCATAAGGGTTGTCACAGTGAGAGCAATCCATGGAAGTGCAACATATGTGGTGAGCAGTGCTGTAACTTGTACCAATTTAATTCGCATTTATTGAGCAAAAGTCATCAGTAGCAGCGAACAAAAAGTATGCAATGGCATATCATTTTTCACTCTTTATTTAAAACCATCTTATCCAAAAAGGGTACGTAAAATTATACGTAAAATAACATCGATATATGAGCATGTGCCACGAAAATATAAATATATGTATATATAGAGAGAGAGAGAGAGAGATTATATATTTAATATATATATAAATATATTTATATTTTCACACACTCAAATATAAAAACTCGATCCCCAACGAAGTACTTTTAACAAGAAAATACACATACATATATATAGATATATATATATATATATTTATCCCGACATGTAGTTCTTTTAAATTGTGAATTTTGGTAATAGCCATGTGCTGCCTTCCCCTTTAAAAATTCTGCGCGTAATGGGAAGATTTGTGCCTTTTTTCAAATTTGCCGACTTTTACTCGTCCATCATATTGTCATCATACGAACGATCCGTCCATAGAGCTTTACAGAATTATTCCAAGCTCTATAAGTAGTATTAACTTACAATTAGATATATACGTATATATATATATGTATATTGGATGAGACATCTAAAACTAAGCCTGCGAATATTTTGAAAATATGTTGAATGTATCGAAAAGGTTGATACAATTTAAGGTGATAGCTTTTATCTAAAAATTATAAAGTTATAATTTGGTTATCGATATAAATTGATATTATTGTAATTGCTGTGTATATTGGTCCATTTTAAATAGAACATATTTCTTTAGAGATATTTTTGTTTTATAATCGAAATTAACCAAGATAATAAAAGCTTTCAATTTTAGCTGACTCATCCGATATATCCTACAGATTAAACACATTAAAACAGTCTTAGACTGTTTCAAAAATGAACAGAGTTAAATAGATAGATTACCAAGAAAAATGAAGAACACACAACACATTTCTATTAGATATCTTATTTAGTTATGCGGCCCAAATGCTTTCGAACAGACACGATGTATTTTTGAATTTACTTCTTAATTGAATTATCCTCAAATATATATAGCTCACATACGAATTTAATATATAAATAATAACAGAAAACAAAATACATACATATGTATTTAGTATATATTAAACTTTGCCTTTTCTTGCACTTTCTTGCACACACTCACGTTTAACACATCAGAATAAACACAACATCGGGTTAGTTAAAAGCATTTGCCGTTTATCCTACTAATTCATGGTGATATGTGGGTTTTAACAGGTGGACAATATACTTCACTAGCTAAAAATTTAATTAGCGAGTTGATGCGTATTGCTGATTCACCTGTTTTAGGTAGGAATGTTATATATCGGTACAGCCGATAATGAGGATAACATGTACAGGGCACAAGCCACCAGGCATGTACTATATAAAAGGCAGGTTCGGAGATTTGACCTTGACATGAAATTAAAAAAGGAAAAAGAAGAAAAAGAGAAAAGAGTTTTGCAGATACGTATTATTTCACGGTAGATATATACCGTATTACTTACAACAGGGTCATATTCTCTGCTTTGCCTTTACTTCGAAGATTATTTTATATATAAATATTTGTACAGAGAAAAAAAAAACAAATTATTAAGAGATGAATTCGATATGGAAAGAAAATCGAAATAGTGATTACTGCGTACATGGCAAGCATAATAATTAATATTATGCACAGATAAATAAATATATATTTATATAAGGAAAAGAATAGAGACACACGGATATATACGATTATATATACACACACTCAGAGAGAAAGAGAGAAAGAGAGAAAGAGAGAAAGAGAGAGAGAGAGAGAGAGAGAGAGAGAGAGAGAGAGAGACACACAACACACTGCTGTAAATGGTTGTAGTTATTTAATAATTGTTCTGTATATCTCACACAGCATAGTATTTAATATGATCAATATTATTTATTAGCATATAAGTAATTTATTATTGCTTTGCATTCCAAGAGATAAAGTAGTATATTATTGTAAACTAATGATCAGCGTTAACGGTGCTTTTTCTTTAGAAATTCATTGGATTATCTTCGTAAATTAATAATTAGCACATAAAGTATCTTTAAAGTTAATAACAAATTATTGATCAATAATGTTTATTTTAAAACAAAAAGGATACGAAATTCTATATATATATATATACATATATATATGTATACTGGATCTTTAGAAAGAGATACAAGACTTTTAAATGATTATATTTAATCTGCTACATTACATACATTGATGATTTTGGTATTAAACAATATCTGAAAGCTGGATATGCAATACAATAAACTATTTAAATATAATTATTTAAAAATATCGTGTCTCTTGGTGAAGAACCTGTATAAATATGTGTAAGTTATTGAATTTGTTAATAGCACTGTCAATCTTTATTGAAGCATCATTGACGTACAAATTTTTTAGATACCTTTACAACACTGTGTGTTCATCATATTAGTTCGTGAATTTTTTATGGTATTGTGAAAATAAGTGCCTGATTTAAATGATTATATTTCTTGAATTTGATGATTAATTTGTGTCATGAGAAGAAAAAGAAAACGAGAAAAAAAAAAAACATGAAAACTGATTCCGACATCGGTTTGTAGAATTATAAAAAAAAGATTTTTGTCCAATCCCATATTTAGAGAAAGATATATATATATATATATATATTATATATTATATATATATACATATATCTATATATGGACCAGAAGCGTGCCCGCATTTACCACATGTGCTTAGAATAGCAATGCCTTTACAACTGTGATCACGTTTACAAAGAAATTAGTCTTAAACCTAGAAGATAGACGTAAAGGTATTTAGAAGTATACGAAAATATGATGAACACAATTTCGAATAAAAAGCCTTAGGTGCAGCCCGCCCTCTGTCCCTCTTAATTTATATGAATAAAATTAAAATATATTTAATTCTATAAAAAATGGGAAAAAAAAAAATATATTGTTGATGTTACTACGGTGTAATGGGTACAATTTAAATACATAATTCTTACATGTATATAAGTAATAGACCGAAAGACTCTCTCATCAGACACGTATTTTTCAATTCTCCAATATCCCTAATATTGTTCCTTTAATATTAAGATTTTAAAGATGAAACAAATTCAATTATCTATCTGTTATTCTTATAATGAAATATTTTAATATAAACAATTCTAATAATATCAACGAAAATTCTATATACAATTTATATTTATATATATATATATAGAAATAATACAAATAATTATCTAATTGTTTAATTAATCTCTCTGGGTAATTTAAATTTTTAACAAATTTAAAAAAAAAAAAAAGAATAAAATAAATCCTCAAAGTAAATTTGTCTCTTCAAAAATCATAAAAAACTTTTGGAAAAGTAAAAGGATTAGAAAAAGAGAGAGTAGTGTATACTGTTGGACAAAGATTGCCTCTACACATTTTATAAATTTTATTTTCATAACAATCATTTGAAACGTGTATGAATACAAAGGCTCGTGTGTTATATTACAAAATGTCCACTTTGTTTTATTTTTTGTATATTTTATTTCTCTTTCTTTTCCTTATTATTATTATTATTATTTTTATTTTTTTTTTTAAATTCCTTATACATTAAAACTTACGAGAAAGAAAGAAAATAAATAAATTTGTGAAGAAATCTTCTTCTGGATATTGTGTGGGATAAGAGTGTAATGGTCTCTCGTTGCTCGAATTTCACTCGAGTGTCGGGGACCAATAATAATAATAATAATAATAATACAATAAAGAATGATATAACATTATGAAATTTTTCTTGGACAATTTTCTTACAATTAAATTATCAGGAACCAGGTATAGAAATAGAAAGGTTGATAATAATACACACGTAATACACATCACACACATTCGTAATCTTAACAGAACCAACAAGCGTCGTTTACTTTTACAAAAAATGGCAATAAAGAATTAAATCTTAAAAGTAATTCTTTAGAAAATATATATCTCTCGTACACATATTATCGTGTTATCGATCAAGAAGAGGAGGGGGGTAATGATGGGGAAAGAGGAGAAGGAGGGTAAGAAGAAAGATATATATATATATATATATATACCTTTCTATAAATGTGTACTAAACATTATATGCACCGAGATTTTTCCATAGAACGTCATTGTTCATCCAGCATCCGGTGAGATGCGAGAGAATAATTCCTTTGAAGATTTTCTTTTTTTTTAATTATTCTCTCTCTCTCTCTCTCTCTTTCTTTTTACTCTTTCTTTCTCTTTTGCATTTAGTTAGATCAATCAATGACGTTAGTCTTGTGGCTGAGAATCGTTTCGATGTTTCGATGAATCCGCGCGATTTGTGAACGTTTACTTCTCAGTGTCTCCTCTTCCTCGATGTAGAGGTTCCCACCCACTTCCGGCCAACCAGCCACCACCGGAGTTTCGCGTTTCCGGTCTGTAAGCAAGAGGAAACAAGTGCGATCTACCGACCAATCAACCAAACCGAGTACTTCCCCAATTCACCTACGTTGTTCAAGGGCTCTTTCTCTCTCTCTCTCTCTCTCTCTCTTTCTGTCTGTCTGTCTCTCCCCTTTCCCCCTTTCTCTTTATCTATCTCTATCTCTATCTCTATCTATCTCTTTCTTTCTTTCTCAATCGATATTTATCCAACGATGTATACTTCCTGTTAAAACTCTTTTATTTCAAATTGATTCGCTAAACGTGATAAAATTTATCGAACGATTTGATTATTGACATTGATCGAATTAATTTATGTATGTATATAGATACACACGTTTCGTACATATATATATATAAGAACTCTCTTTTTCCTCTCTCCCTTCCATCCCTCTTTCGTTATTTTTAATTCTCAGTCAATTGATATTTATCTAACGATATATTATACTTCCTGTGTGTTTCTCTTTTATTTCTAATCAAATTCGTTAAACGTATTCGTAGTTCTCGAACGATCGAATCAATGTACATGCATTTATACATATGCATAAAGAGATATATGTACGAAAAGTATGTATGTATGTAATGTACGTATGTGTACATGACATACGTATGATATATCGTCTAATGTTGTTGAGCCTAAAATTGGACGCTAGGCTTGATTTTCAGCATCACGCGCGTCAATCTTGAAAATGCAAACTGACGCATGTTCTCTCTCTTAACGATGAAGATTCTAAAGTTAGAAATACGAATCCCGGTTGAGAATGAATGAAAGCAGGCAGATAAACGTTAGGGTGGTAACAATCATGTCATTTTGTTTTTATCATGTGATAAATAATTAAGTAAGAAGTGTGTATGTGCGTTATCCCTCTAAAGGCCACGTAAATACATAAAATAGAGAAATTATCAAAGGCCATGGCACCTAGCCACAAATTTGCCATCGTCTTGTCTCGTCTATTTTACTAGTACTTACAAACAACCCCGACTATTTCCTGAAATACACCAGTAACGTAAGCTTTCAATTCAAACATCGCGTCCTGCTAGATCGTATAATCATTAGATTTTCGTTTATTGTCATCTACTACTTCAATAAGTATTGTAGTATTTCCACAATTTCATTTGTTTCTATTAATGACAACTGACATTTCATTCATATATACATATAAATATATCTTCAACTAATTTGACATTTTCTTTTTAAATTTGTCCTTGTAACTATTAATAACATGATTGTTTTAAATCAGATGATTTATACTCAAAATGTTCTTTAATTAATGTGTTGACTTTAAAAGATTTAATTATCTGTATAATAAAACTATAATGTGATATTAATAATTTAGAGATATATAATTCAAGCAATGAATATCATTTAGTTGGTAGGATCAAGTTGCAGGAAACGATCGATTGAATGAAATTCGTAAAAGGTGGTCGGGTCCTAGTCAAGGATCATTATCGAGGATAAAGTTCTTTACACGTTCTCTCCCACAACGTACGTGACGTTATACGTGGCGTGAAGCAGCACATTTAACCACGGTTACAATCAAATGAATTTGTTATTTACTCCCTATTTGAAATCCCTTACCCTCCCACTTCCCCTACTCTACTCTATTCTATTCTACTCTACCCTACCCTACCCTATCTCATCTCTACCCCTTTTCCATCCATTTATCTCTCGTATACTAAGCTCGATCATTCTTCGCAAAACGTTCGTCGCGAATGCGTACGCAACTATATCTACACTGAGGGTCAAAATCAAAATAGGGCTTTAAATTAATGTAATGTGTATTTAGCGAACGAATAAACACGAACGATATATATATATGTTACCGTCATAGCCGGAAATCCGCCATTGCTAGTAATTCTTTGGCATTCTCATCAATGCAAAAAGCATTTCAATGAAGTCGGAAACAGAAGAATTTTTACAGTATTTCCTAAGCATTGAACGTAATACTTTAACATTCTATAGAATATCTAATTACTATTTAAACAACGATGAAAAGAATACATTCTCGGGCATAGACACACATACGCAACCCCCCCCCAAAAACTTTTCAAAGAAATATCAGAGATTGCAATGCTATAAAATGTACATCTTTGCAATTTTTTTGAAAAGTTTCGGTAAATATTTTTTATACTTATAGTAAGCGTATTTTAATAATTTTTATATTAAATTAAAGTACACTATTTTGTCTACACGTAGAATATCTTATTGAGTTATAAATCGATTTGCAAAGGTTCATAAAATGGCAAAGAATGCACTGCTGTAAGTTGTGCATCTTTGCAATTTCTTTGAAAAGTTTCGGCAAATATTTTTTATACTTTTWGCAAATAGATTTTAATGATTTTTATATTAAATTAAAGTGCACTCTTTTMTCTACACGTAGAGTACAAATTTGTGTTATAAATCAATTCGCAAACGTTCAAAAAATGGCAAAGAAAAGTTGGCGTATTAGGCAATGTGAGTAATGCCTAAAACCAGGCATTGTTAACAATACCGGCCTAGGTTCCAAACCACCCCCGGCAATGTTAACAATGCCTGGCCTTAGGCATTATTCACATTGCCTAATCTGCCAACTTTTCTTTGCCATTTTTTGAACGTTTGCGAATTGATTTATAACACAAATTTGTACTCTACGTGTAGAGAAAAGAGAGCACTTTAATTTAATATAAAAATCATTAAAATCTATTTGCTAAAAGTATAAAAAATATTTGCCGAAACTTTTCAAGGAAATGGCAAAGTAGGAAATAAATTGCAGCATCGCATTCTTTGCTATTTTATGAACGTTTCCAGATTGATTTATAACTCAAATT